ATATTGGGGCACTGCTTTCTATAATAAAATAATGTTTAATGATTAAATATATATTATGTTAATTTGATAAATACATTTTAATTCCAAATATAGATAGTATAATCGTTTCCATATTACAAGCAGTACAAGCAATATATTTAAATTATCTACAAATAGGGAGAGTAACTTTGAACACATTCAAATAAAAAATAACTAAAAATTGAATCAATTTTTTTTGACGTATTGCTAAATATAACTTATACCTAATTGTTTTATAATGTTATAATTAATTAATATTAATTGAATTAGTTAAACTACTCAGGTAATTCTTTTAAATTTCCAACTTGATATTACCTAATTTATTAACTTAAAATTTGTAATTTAGTTGTAATAATTAATAGGTTCAAATTTTAAATGTGTAATTGGTAAAAGTAAAAACTTACTAAAAGATTCATTATCTCTAGCATCAACTATAAAAATTTCACAATCTTGTTTCATAGCCTGATCTGTGGAATAGCTGGCGATATCAGCTGAATAACTGAACGAGCATGTACGTACAGCTGAATTACTACCAATATTACCAATCTCCACACCTGCAAACACATTTTAAAATTACTGATTTACTTTAAAGCTATTAAACGAAAATTCCAATATTATTACCAGTAGCAACATCCCAAAGCCTTAAGGTGTTGTCAGCAGCTCCGGACAAAAATTTTGTGGTTTTCCAATCAACGTCAATACACCATACAGCTCCGGTATGGCCAATATACGTACCAAGACGCTCTCCGTTCAAGGAATACCAAACATTAGGTGTTACGTCCTTAGCAGACGAGAACAATAGATCACCTTCTCTGTTGTATTTAATTTGAGTAATGGCACGCTCGTGCCCTTGTAACATTAAAGGTTTCTGTATAAAAAGATAAAAACAAAAACAAAAATTACAAATAATTAAAGAATATTTTTTTTTTATAAGACACTGCGATTAAAAGCAATGAAAGGAGAATAGTAACTTACCATGGCGAATGGGTGGAGATATTTTTTATAATAATATTTAAAATATTTATAACAGTAAATCCGAATTCAAAGCTACGTCGTATGTCGAGTCGCAAGTTAAGCTCGTCCCATCTCTGGAAGTTTCCCGGTAGATTATGGTTAGTAAATGATAACATGATTACAACAGCCAATCAGAATACGATATGAGACACACGACAYGACACACGCCGTGAGTGTGAATCCTGCTTTAAATATTTACAAATGTACGGACATGCATACGTATACTATAAGTCTATAATATACGTATTGATTATTGAAGAAWACTGAAAAACATCGAAAGAGTTAAGAACCGGAAAATCACGTGATACCATGTGACAGCGTCCGATGATAAGGCGTGAATAAAGCAGTTTCACCAATTATTGGTCTTTCAAATTATACGGTTTGAAACACGCTGCACTGATCATAACGATCTTATATTTAATTATTATTACGATACATTAAACATTGATTAATATATAAATATTTAACCGATAATATATGTATTATATATTTTATATATTGTACTATGTGGGAGTGGGGGAGAATGAAGGATACCTTACCAACAACTCTCCGAGTTTTCAACGAAAGAAGGTAAGACATACAATGTACGTAGTTTATTATTTTACTCCATCTAAATCACAACGATCGAGTTCACAGTTATTAATAATAATAATCATATTTCGAATTTTTATTAGTCAGTGAGTACTGAGTAATGTTACTTGTTAGTACTTGGAAGAATTTTCTATGTCACAATTACCGCGCTTATAATTTTATATGTAAAAAGTAGAAACACATAGACACGAATTTTAGTTCGGATTTAAATGTATATTTCATTTCACTTTCACGATTCAAGTAGAAGTCGGAAACGCGGATGCCGGATATCGTGTATTACAATTTCTAAAATTTCGACGTATATGTTAGGTCTTGTGTATGAACAAAAAGAGTTTAACACACCTCAATTGGCGAGTATAAATGATGATGCAGAGCGACTCAAGCATCAGTAGCAACTAGGTTCAGTGACGTATACGTTAGGAGTAAGGACTCTAACGTATTGTATATTTGTATTAATTAAATCATTCATGGTGCAATATGAGCCCGATCGAAATCAGGCAATTAAAAAAATTATATTTCTAGACTCCTTTGAGTGCTCCCCTCCACGGAAATCTTTAGTAAAAGGCGAAAGATTTTTTCGATTTGAAGGGGAACCGGAGTTAACCAAATGATGTTTCTAGGGTGTATAAGTATACTTTACATGCTACACAACATTATGAGAGTTTTTAAAACATGCATAATCAATATAGAGAATATTTGCTTTAAGTAAAGTTGTGATTTAAATATAAACTACTTTTTTGTGTTATTAACACATATTTTGAATATGAACATAAGTTTTTAAATACTTTTATTGGGTAAATAATTGTTTCCTTAAGGAAAATGTTCGTTGCTCTAAAGATCACGTGTTTCTACGCCATCTACCGGATGTAAAGTTGACTATTTTATCTACTACACAAAACGTCTACTTTAATGTCGTTTTTGTCCGCTTCAAAAAAAAATATTCAAGCCCATTGCGTATAGTAGGTATTAGGTAATAGGTAATAGTTAAACKTCCTTAAACCAAATACTTTAATACTTTATACTTAATAGAGTTTATACTTATTAGAGCTCGGGTGTTTATGACTTAGCACATGTTTTCAGGCTTCCGGCTTTTCGCGTTTTAAATA